GCGGGTTCCTCTCGCGCATCTCAGCCCGAAGTCTCTCAAGTATTTTTACCCCCTTGCTGCCTGCGTGGCCCTCGAATTCCTCGCGCAGATGACGCTCGTGAGTATCCACCCCTTCTCCTCCTCCTCATCCTTCTCGCTCCCTACCTCTCCCTCTCCCCTCCTCTCCCCTCCCCTGGATCTCTCTTGAACATCTTCGCTTCTCTCTTCTGCTACTCAGCAGCTTTCAGGTGAGCATAGAATCCATTGTTCCTCCTCTCCTTCGAGTTTGGAACGACTGGAGCTGCGACGCCATTGCCATCTTCATCATGGGTGAGGGAGGGAGGGAGGGAGGGAGGGAGGGAGGGAGGGAAGAAGCGGGAGATGAGGGTGGGGTGGGGAGGGGTGGGGGGGGGGAGGGAGGGGGGGAGGCAGGAGATAACTCGGTTACAGGGGAATCTTGTATGTGGAGTTATAGGAATAGCTGTGTTCGATCCGCTCAAGAAGATGCAGGTGAGCTCCTGCTCGTCCTCCACCTCCTCCACCTGCTGCTGCTACTGCTGCTTCTGCTCCTGCTCCTCTTCCTCCTCCATTCGCTCTCTACGTGACCTGACAGTTTTGCAGCCCTTGCGCTCTCTCATATTCCTCAGTGTCTTCCTCGTCCTCCTCGGTTTCTCCTTCTGCTTCCCATGGAGAGGAAGGTCAGCTGCTTCTCCTCCTTCCCCCGCCCTTGTCTGTTTCGTCCTGTTCTCTTGCACCCCCCCCCCCCCCCTTCGCTGTCTCCCTCTCCTTCTCTTATCGTCCTAGTCTCTGCCTCCCCTCTCCACTTACTCCTACTTATCTACTTCTTTCTCCCCTTCTTCGCTCTTGCCTTCCCTCCTCTCTTCTCCTTCCTCCTTCCTCGTCTCCTTACCCTCTCCCTCTCCCTCCTCTCTCTCTCCCTCTCACACCATGCCAGGATGGACGCTCTCTCTTTCACCTTTGGCTGCTGCCTCTCTTGCTTCGGCTTCTTTCCTCTCTCTGAAATCGCCAACGATATCGTCTCTGCTGCCATCGTCAAGGTCTACTCCGAGGACGGCGAGCTGGTCTGGCTGCAGGTAGAAGGGAAGGGAAGGGAGGGAGGGAGAGGAGGGAGGGAGGGAGGGAGGGAAGAGGAGGAGGAGGAGGAGAGAAGAGGAGGAGGGAAGGGTGAAGCAGGTCTACATTTGCTGACGTCGCCGCAGCTCTTCTGGAGCATGACAAGGCTGCCTGCTCGAGCTCTCGGACCTCTCGCGCTGATCCTCGCGATTGATCTCGATCCGGTCGGTCCACCATCAACCATCGATATACGTCCACATCCTGCTGCTGCTGCTCCTCCTCCCTCCCTCCCTTCTTCCCTCCTCCCTTCCTCCCTTCCTCCCTTCCTTCACCTCCACCTCGTCCTGCTTTCTTCTCGTCCTCCTGCTTCTGCTGCTTCTTGCTCCTTGCTCCTCCCCTGCCGCTGCTTCCCTTCCCTTCAATGTATTCCTTCTACTTCTGCATCCTGATCCTTATACACGTGCTCCACTCATCCACTTCCTCTTTCTCTTCCTCTGCTCCTCCAATCTCGCTCTGACCCTCCTCTGAATGTGCGGCAGACTGGAGTAATCTGCTTCCTCCTCCTCTCCTCCTTGTCCTTCATCGCCCTCGTTATCTTCTTCGTCCTCCGCCATTCTCTCATCTCGCCTGACGTGCAAGAGGAAGCTGAGGTAAATGCGACTTTCTGTGCTGCACTTCATCCTCCACTCCTCTCTGTACTCTCCCTCCTCCTCTGCGGCTCCTTTCCTTTCTCCTAGTGCTCGCTCTTCCTTCCTTTTTTCCCGTATTTCTGAAATTAAGATTGAGAGAGGGAGCCTTGGGGTGCGGTATAGAGTAGGAGGAAGATGAGGAGGAGGAGGAGGAGGAGGGGAAGAGGAGGAGGGGGAGGAGGTGGTGGTGGTGGTGGAGGTGTTGGTGGCTGCTGACTGCGAGCAGGTTCTCCCTGGAGCTGAAATCTCGATGAGGGAGGATTTTCGCTTCGACAACTACTGGGAGTTGTATCCGAACCAGCAATGATGGTGATAATGATGGTGGAGGGTCGACACCTGTACTTTATCTTTGATCTCTTTTTATTCTTTCCCGTCCTCAAACAAAAAGAAGTAAAACAGAGGACACTGTCAATGGATGAGAGGAAGGAAGAGAAGGAGGATCTAGAATCCTGTACAACTTCCCTCTTCTCCTCTTCCTCTCCCTTTCATCCTGTCCCTCCACATCAATCAGTTCTTGTCATCACGACTGAGGCTCATAACTTGTTCCATGTCCCTCACAGATCAGACGCACTAGCAAACAAGAGGATGGCGTCCCGTGAGCCGCAATCCAAAAAAATCAACAAAACAAAAGAATCAAGTCACCTCTCCCCGCATGAGTTTTAAACTCACACTTCCTCCTCCTCCTCCTCCTCCTCAGCTCATTAGTGGTAACAAGCCCCGCACTTTCTTCATCCCCCGACGTCCTTCAGGTAGATGCTATCCAGCGCCCGTGCATGGCAGAAGGAGGCGCCGCGAGCGAGGAGGATGGCAGAGACTCGATCCGCATGCTCTTGAGGACACATCCTCGACTTGCCCTCCTCCACTTCCTCCCTCTTCGCCTCCCTCGCTCCCTTCAGCTCCCCTCCAGCATGGGGAGGAGGAGGCGTCTCCTCTCCCCTTGCCGAGTACTCATGCAGGTAGATGCTGTCCAGTGCCTTGGTGTTGCCAAACGACATGCCGCGGGCGAGGATCAATGCTGCCGCTGCTCCGACGTCGGTTTCCTCCTTGTCTCCTCCTGGAGGGACAGGAGGAGGTTTGGTGATGCTCAGGTCTGCCCGGATGATACTAGAGATGTTCTCCTCCTCGTCCTCCTCCTTCGCTCCCGGCGGTGTCGTTGAAGTATTCCTGCTTCCCACCATGCGCGGCATCAGGCGAACCTGTCAAGCACATGTCAGGGAGGAGCGAGTGGGGAGAGGAGAGGAGCGTTCGTGCTTCTGTCATGGTGCTGATACAAGTGATTTCTCCTAAGACTCAAACATGTAAAAAGAAATTAAACTTTTACAGGTTGAAGTGCTGCTTCAGCCTTGTGATGATTGTCATATTTTTGGATTGTTTGTCCATGATTACACTGACATGTTGGGTTGTAACAGAACAGCATGATGACAATACGAAACACTTGCAGCATTATCATCAATTTCACACAATCCGCTGCTTACTCATCTCTATTCATAAGGTCAAATAAGCTTTCTACACTCATTTTCGTTCCAGCGGATGTTTACAGATGTCTCAAAATATCTCTTCTTCAGTCCCATGACCATAGTGAAACCAATCCAGGATGCTGTTCCTTCATGCTTCTCTCCTTTTCCTCCATTACATTCTCGTTTACTTTCTCCTTGTCACTCTCCTCAGCCTGTTACTTTTTCACCTCTGCCTCTCCTCGTTCCCTCCTAATCCTCCTTCCACATTTCCTTCTTCCTCTTCTCTTACCTCTCTTTCCTTCTCCTTCAACCTCGCCTTCTCCTTCTCATCTTCTTGGTCTTCTCTTTATCTTCTCCTCCTCCTCTCCTCCTCCTCTCTTCCTCTTCCTCTGTTTACCTGAAACAACAAGCGCAGCATTGTTTGGCCACCTTGCAGACCCACCCCCTGACCCCTAAGTTGCACCCTTTTGGTCCACCCCCACCCTACGATTTCATTCGATTCACCACCCACCACCAAAGTCCTTTAAATACAGGAATGATAACCCCCCTTTTCCTCATGAAATTATCTTTAGTTGACCCCACCCCTACAGACCTTTTCCCTTGCTGGTTTCTCGATGTCATACCCACCCTACCCCTCCTCCAAAAGTCTCGACCTCGTGACCCTACCCACCCAAGAGAGCTTTACACAGAAGGGAATTTCTTCTCGTTTAACTTTTTTTTTATGCAGGTTTTTTTTTTCGCCGGGCCGTCGGAGCCCGGCGGCGGGCCGGAGGCCCTTCACTGAGATGATCTAGACTTGTCATTGTTGATTTTCGTCTTGTGTGTTGGACACGTTGAACCGCTAGGGTCAAAGAAGGTCAAGGGGTAGTACATCAAGTCAAGATGGTGGGTACTGTTGGGGGATATGACTGGTGGGGGTTACAATGGAGGGGTACTACTAGGGGGTAGCGCAAGCAGGAAACACGCGTGATGACGACTAGGATGCGGGGAACGAGCGTGGGAAGCATGATAGCGAGGACGATGAAGGGAGTGAGAGACACATCGAGATCTTCTCGCCATGGTGCGACAGCCTGGCAGAAGAACATGTGCAGGTCGTGGGAGTTTGCAGCCAATGCAAAGTCGGACAGGAGGGGAGGCGCAATTCCACTCGTTCCTCCTGTACAGGCGCCAGTCAAGATGTTGATGGCACACAGAACCGCTCAATGCTCTCCTCTAGTCCCTCATGTACCGCACATGTCTCGTGCCCATCATCGATGCCTTTCCACCAACACTTCCTCCTCCTCCTCCTCCTCCTCCTCCTCCTCCTCCTCCTCATCTTCGTCCTTCAAGCAGAATGGAAGCAACGACGATGAACAAAGCCTTCGCCAGTGAGACTTATCTTCTCCTACTTCCTCTGCCTATCCCACCTTCTCTATCTCCTCGCCCTTGTCCTCGCCGTCGTCCTGCTCCTGCTCCTGCTCCCGCTCCTGCTACCGCTACCGCTCCTGCTCCCTCTACCGCTCCTGCTCCTGCTCCCGCTCCCGCTCCTGCTCCTGCCCTGTAGCACGTTTGACCTGCTCATAGGGAACTCCTGGAGTGCGCCCTTGAGAATGTTCACCAGCATGGCTGGACCGTGCAGGCGCTGTCTACCGCCGCCATGTCGATGGGGCTGTCTCCGAGCATCCATGGCATCTTCCCCAGGTGAAGAGGAGCAGTTCATCTCAGCGTGACTTGTACTACCAGAGGAGCTGTCGAGCTAGTGGAGTTCTTTCAGGAGAAATGCCATGCCGAGTGGCTGACAGAGCTGAGGGCTATGGACACGTCGGTGAGGCCCCCGCACCAGCTCCGCCTGCTCCTCTTGCTCCTGACCATGCTGCTCCTGATCCTGCTGCCCTGCCCCTGGCCGGCCCCCTACTCCTGCTCCCACTTGTCTTTGCTCCACTTGACGATGGACGACAGACTATGAGCTATCCAGACGTCCTGACAAAAATTCTCTTCATGCGCCTCGTGAAACTCGCTCCATACGTCAGCTCTTGGCCGCAGGCCATTGCTATCCTCGCCTTCCCCAGCAACCTTCCTGGTCTGCACCTCGTCCTCGTCCTCGTCCTCGTCCTCGTCCTCGTCCTCGTCCTCGTCCTCGTCCTTCTCCTCGTCCTCCTCCTGCTTTCTCCCATCTTCCTCTTTGCCGCCGCTGGCTGACCTTGCTGCTTACAGGAGCCGTTGCTACTTTGGCTCGAACAAGCGACGTCGCATGCGTGCAGGCAGGTGACGGGAATGTGGATGCAAGCTGGTTCAGGTATGAGTCTCCCCCTTTCCCTTCTCTCCATCTCCTCTGCTCCTCCTCTGCCCCTCCTCTTCTCTTCGTCTCAGCTTCTGATTCTTCCTGCAGCAAGCGGATTGCGGTCGGGGGCCTCTACGTCGGAGCAGAGTTCTACATGCTCACCGACTACTCGGAGGATTTCAAAGACACAGAAGACTTCATTCGACGACAGGTCTCCTCCTTCCTCATAAACCCTCCTCCCGTACTCCCCCTCATCAACCTCAACCACTTTGTCTTGATCATCCTTCGCTCCCCTCTCTCTACCGTGTTCTCTGCGCTCCCCTCTCTCTACCGTGTTCTCGTCGCTCCTCCTCCTGCCTTGTTCTGTTCCTCATTTCCTCATGGCAGATCATCGACATGCAGAACGCAGGATCTTCAGCTCACTTCGCCATCAAGCAGGTGCTGTTTTCCTGTCCCCTGACATCTTGATTTCTCCCCTCCCCTCATCCTCTCTTCCCCGCCACGTTAACTCCCCGTCCTCGCGCTCACTCGCTCTTCTTCTCAGGTCGAGACGCTGCTCTATCAGGCGCTAGAGAACATTCAGTCACACAAGAACGCCAACAGGCCCTGAGACTTAACGTCTATGAAGAATCCTCGTTTATCAACAATTATTAAATCAGAGCCACTAGCACCAGACGACAAACTTTTGCTTTCACACACGTCGCTGTGCTCATGCCCTGAGGCTGATCGCTCAGATTTCATCCCTCGCGGTCGGAGAGTCCCAACCCCGCCTTGCATATCAAGCGCGCTGTGAAATCTCACGAGACAGTCCAGATTAAGTGTTACCCCTTAACGCTGCCCCTGTACAAATGAATAATCTACACATCGTGCATATCCAAAGAATGTTGAGCAGAAGTGTGTCGTGGCGGAAGCGACAAGGCTCACTGGGTTAACCCCAGCACAAGGTCAGTGCTGGTAGGCCAATCAGGCGCTCTCGGCAGGACATGAAATCCGCGATGATCGAGTAAACGAATGGATCATACTCGCATGACACGAGGGTCACGCATCACTGAGAGGCCCCTTGGCCTCTGAGCGCCGGCATGTCCGAGAGCCCAGGAGCGTTGCTGGTCCCTTGAGAGCCTCCACTTCCCCCGCCTTGCTGCGGAAGGCAGAACCTTGCAACAGACTGAAACCTGCGGGAGACAAGAATCAGGACCAGACGTGTCAGAATCAAGAGGAACACTCACAACTGCTCTATCTCCTTGCTCGATCGCACAAAATCGTGTCGCCAGATGTCGTAGGTGGAGTTCTTGATGAGCTCGATGAAGGTGATCAGCAGACCCCAAGGATGAGGTTTGTTCACGATCAGTCGCTCAATCAGGACGCGGGTCACTTGCTCACGAACGATCTCCTTGTCCTGCGACGCTTGGAATAGGTTGAGGAGGACACAACTGAGGTAGTGTGTATGACTATTGGGATATCGAAGCTGGTTTGCAATCGCGTTGAAGAACAGGTATCTCCCTTCCGTGTCCAGGTCGCGGCTGAGCTTGACAAAGAGCTCGAGGCTTGCGCCTCCGATGCTTGGAGTCTTTCCTTGTACTGATCCATTCTGCGAGATCGCGGAAGCAGCCACGTAGAGCACCAACGAGTTGATCAGCGGCACGTTGTACTTGGTGCCTGCAGCCGCAGCCTCCACTGGGCTAGTCAACAGGAGGGTCAACGGAAGCTCTTGCAGGAAGCTGTCCCGGCCTCGTCCTTTCAAGAAATTGTCCAGATCTGACTTGAGATTTCCAGTCTGCGCGAGGATCGATGTGAAGTTCGACAGAATGATGGGAGGTTTGTGAATCTCCGGCAACCTAGATTCCAACATGAGAAAGGGAAGCGTATCGTAATACAAGGAACTCACAGGTCGACTTTCAGCTGGGGCGTGAAAGGATCTGGCAGGGTCATGTTCCGTGGAAACGCCGAGAGGATCAGATTTCGTAGCTGGATGCATGAAGGAGGTATGACGTCACAGAAGCTTGCATGGAATTCGCAGAGGAACTCTGGGAAGTCGTGCAAGAGCACAAGGAGCACTCTGAGAGTTCCCTTGTACAGAACCTTGATAGGTTCGTGAAGTTCTGCGCTGCGAAGGTATGGCTCCAGGTACCTGCGAGCACACGAGTCAACACATTGTAAACATGCATCGCTTATCAAGACCTGAAGAGTCCTACGAGAAGTCGTTGGAACGGCATCCAGCCCTTCTTGTTGCTTGATTGGAGCAACTTTGGCATCATGCTCTTGTGCGAGGCAAGCTCCAACCACGAGAAGCTGAAGCTGGGCACGAGTCTTGGTTGCACAGCATGAAGAACATCAGCCAAGGCAAATACGATTGAGTCCCCAATCTATCATGCATGATTAGCGACAAAACTACACCATCTCGAACAACTCACCGCTTCGGTCAACTCGAGCAGAAGTCTCAAGAACAAACGATGGAAAGGTTTCTGGTTCAACTGATACTTCCTTTCGGCTTGCGCATTGTGCAAGACGCGTACGTACGCCGCAAGGAATTTGTTAACCATTCCATTCTTCGACAACGTCGTCGATCGGCTCCAATCGTCATAGCACCGCACAAGGACCAAAACAAGCTTGGCCAACGCATCTGGCTGACTGTACGACACATTCGGAGGGATCGAAGGATCGCTGAGAGCAGCCGTGCACCTGTCGATACAGATCTCGATACAAATCCGGAAGAAGCGATCAGTGACTTCGTCGCCTTTCAACCAACCCTGCTGAAGCAACAAGGTGATGGACTGCAGCACTGACCTCTCGTCATTCGTCTGAATCGTAACCACCCACTGATCAAGAGTGTAAGAAATCTGATCTCGGAGACCTGGAGGATCCTGAGTATCCTTGGGCTTGCACGATGCGGACAAGAGGCCTGCAACGACTCTTGGATCGTAGCTCTTCCCCTTCGCATCTGCCCCCTGAGGCAAGATAGGAATGCCTCGCGCAATATTCCGAGCATCTTCGAGAAGTTTCAACAAGCTCTCAGGAGGTTTGCGATTCGATTGCGCCAGTTTAGTAAGCGCGTCGAGCAAACGCGCACAATCCGAGGTGTTGATGATTCTCTTCTCTAGCAAACACTGCTGAATTGTGTACATAACACAGTCCATTGCTGCTAATCCTCTGGTCTCGATAGCTTTGACCATTTCCTTGACGTATTCCGGAGAATTCAGATTCAAAAATCGGTTCTGCACCAAAGTGACAGTGAGCTCACGATTCAACTTCGTGTCCGGGTCAACGTGAAGAAGCCAATTCATCAATTCTTTCGGCAGTCGCTTGGTGACATCACCAATCAGCACCAATCCTGCACACAACCAGTCCACTCCGAGTTGACAGCGGCCAAATTTGCTATTGTCGTAAATTCTTCGAAAGAGCTTGTGACCATAGGCAACAGCAACTTCCTCGCGAACAACTGACTGAGTGATCACAGCAAACGATTGCATCAGCAGTTGCTGAATCTCGTGCACTTGAGGTAGAGAATTCAGAGATGTCGCTGCCAATTGCGGGTTGCGAGTTACAACTTCTTCTGCCTTGGTCAAGCAGACCATGCATTTGTCGAGTGCCACCCTCAGATGCTCCGTCTGTTGATTCTGAACAGGCATGTGCATACCAGATGCGGGAAGGTTCGACTGCATTGGCATGTTGCCTCCTTCCGCAAATCCACGCAAGTTTGGCTCGGTTGCGCCGGTCGCGGTTGGCTGGGTAGCCGCTTGGTGGGCCACACGATCTCGAGGAAGCCTCATGAAGTCTTCATAGACCCTCTTCTGGTGAGGTCCTGCCTTGGGTCGGAGAGACTCAGGAAGAATCGGCAGCCACTGCTGTACCTGTGAAAACAATCTCTCAGTTGATGTACACACACCCGCGCGATAAACTTACTTGTACAAGCGCATCATGGAACGGAGTTCCTAGCTTCCTTCTATGTAGAAGAGCAAGATCCAGAGTGACATCGATGTCCCTCACAGCCTTCTCAGTAGCTGCCTTTTCGATAATATTGCAACCAAGGTCAAGGTTGTCATTTGCAACTAGCTGTGCAGCTTGTTCGATCAGAGAAGAGTCAAACAAATTCGTCTTGTTAAGAATCGCTCGAAGCTGGTTGCACATGGTATGCCTCAAGGGCTCTTTGCTGGTAACGAGTGCCAAGCTTCCAGCCAGATTTTGAACCATCATGTGTGCGGCCGCCTTGAGTTGCTGTTCATCTTGCTCGAGGGCGAAGTCTTTGGACACCAGTTCCCTTGTCGTGATGCAAGCGATAGTTACAGATCTATCAACCACTGGCGAAACGATTTCCTTGATTGCCTGGGTAACAGCCTGGATGACAGCCGAGACGAGATTGGGATACTGCTGGAAAATCGCAATGCTGGGGTTGATTGTGATGTAATTTGATATATTCAGGTTCTGGATTGACTGATCAACCGATTGCGGAACACCTTGCAAGTTCAAATCATCCTTAGAGCCCCCTGGTGCTGCTCCCTGCCCACCCGATGTTGCCACATTTGCCTGAGAGGAGGCCGCTGAAATTCCTGCTGCAGCTGCCAGTAACCTCTGATCCGGAACTGTGGGTAACGGTTTGATTGATCCCAAACCACTGTCCGCACCGCGAACATTCCAATCAGGGTTGCCTTCTTTCACCGTCGTACGATTCTTCAGAACACAGCTCGGTTTGATATCCTTCAAGTCCTTGTTCAAATTCTTGCAAAGCACCTCAACCTCGAACTTGACATTCAATTTTAAATCCGTCATTGGATGGATTTCAGCTAGCAGACCAAGTATCAACATCGTCCATGGGTTGGGAGGCTTGAAAATTCGAGAATTGGACACATTTTCGAGGACTTTAGCAATGAACGGTACGACCGCTATCAGTCTGCCCTTTTCGTATGCATCAATCACAAGCTGCTTCAAATCCAGGTCTCGTTGCAAGATTGGCTTGTTCTTCTGCAATGTAAGCATGCCAAGCCAACTGCCCAAGTTCTTGAGAAGACTTCTCAACGACACACTGCTAGTAACTTTGTCTTCACCCAACAGAATTTTGATGTTATCAATAGTGCAGCGTATTACACCTTTGACAAACTGGGAAACCTTCTTGTCAAGCCGGTCCACGAATTGACAGTACAGAGAAAGATAATTGGATTCTTGTGCAGCTCTTTTGACAACAACATACTGTTGGAGCCATGGAACGTGTGCATCCGTGATAGTTGCAAGCAGATCCTTTTCCTTTTGCTCCAAATTGGTATTAGACAAGTTATTGAAAATGAAATGAATCTTGTCCTGCTGGGCCGTATCAGGTTGCACGACAGGGTTTGCTCTTTGCAGTAAAACATCAACGTTGGTAGTCACTCCGAAGGCATGAGCTCCTGACACAACCGATAAAGTATTTTGTACTGCGGCACTCCGCATGTCCACCGTCGGAGCTGCCTCCTGGGAAGAATTTGATCCAGAATTGATATCCGCGACAAAGTTCTGCAAGTTTGCGAAATTTGTCTGGTTGGATTCCTGAGAGAATCCTTGTACAAACCCAGCAAATGAGCTTCCTCCAGATGTTTGATCATTGAAAGCACCATATGCATTGACCTGAGCCTGTGTTACGCTCGAGGTTGAAGGCACCGATACAGGAGTCGATTGAGGGTAGTCCTGAGAGAAATCCATGCCCTGCTTCATGGATCCCGGTACGACATTAGGTGCCACAGCCGCACTCTGTTGCGTGTTGGAAATCGAAGGAGCTTGCGACACTTGTGGCTGCCCTGTGCCGCTGGTAAGCCCTTGCGATGAAGGCACTGGACCCTGTTCATGAGGTGTGGTGGGTCTCGCCGCTCCTGATGAGGAGAGTGCCCGCTGGATGTAGTCAATCAACTCTTCGTGGCTCTGCCGAATATGTGCAATCTGGAGAATGTGATGGCAATACTGTGGCCACTCCACCAATCGAGCCTTGAACTGTTCGAGCGCACACATTCCAAACTTAAACATGTTGCTGCGAAGAGGCTTCCTCAAGGCTTCCAGCACATATCGCAGTGCAATCCCAAGAGTAATGGACGACACTAGCTGGTGTTGAATCAAAGATCCAAACAATTTGCCCGTGATCAAGAGCTCTCTTTCCGGGTAACGTGGAAAGAAACTGTAAACAAAATATCACACACGAAGACTGGCCCGAACCAAACTTCACCGGTATTCATCGAACAGATTATGGATCATGCATGCAAAAACCTCTTGTTCCCGCTGGCATGATTGTTACTTGTAGAGCCACTTGTAACAAACGGAATTTACCTGATTAGAAGACGCCTTAAATCCCTTGAGCATTTGTACAACTCCTTCGATTTGCATCTCGGATGTGTAAATCCTTTGGAAGTGTGAATTGGCCTCTTCCTCAATGTCTTGTGCAAACAGTGCACTTGGTTGTCCCTATACCACCCATGAGATGCTACCAGTCAGAGGATATACATCGCTCTACCTGCCCCTGAGGTTGACCTTGGGCCTGTCCCTGTTCGCCAGGCATTTGCGATTGCGCCGCTTGTGAGAGAATGCCTGTTCCACTGTTGCTTTCTCCGCCTGATCCACCATGTTTGCCCACGGCTCTTCCCTGTGATTCTTGAACCAATCTCCGGATTTCGGACGTCGCAACTGTATCGAAATGACCAGCTTGCAAAGCCTATCAAAATCGCATCATTTTCCGCTCTCGGTGCATGATAGTGCATTATATACCTGCAGCAAAGCTGACGCATATTCCATGGGCACACTTGGTCCCGGTTTTGCATTCATTGTATCTCCACCATACACCCTTGAACGCAAATATGACACAGCTGCAAGGGCAAACTCATCGCCTCCGACTTCGCCAGCCTTACTAGCCCAGTTTGCAAACGGCAACCCTGTGTTCTGCGCAGCTAGCACAGCCAAGTCTATGGTAAAGTGTCTATCTTGCTTCGAGTTCAAAACTTCAAGGAGCAGTCCCAATTCTTGAATCACTTCTAGAATTCTCAGCAAGGCTGCTGCCTGTTGATCTGAATTTCGGCAAAAATGCACCATTCCATGAATGAAGGCATTCTTGTTGGTTGTCCAAAGCGCCTTCAACATCTCATTTCGGTACGATGAAGACTGTACCATAAACTGACTTATCAATCGTGACAAAAGCCTGCTGTACAATGCACCCCCAGTTGACCTGTACAACCAACCAATGAGTCTACTTCACAGGAATATGCTCACTCATCACTTACTTGCACTGTGCCAAAGTGAAAATCAAAACTTCACTGCAGGACATGACGGGACGATTGAACAATGGTGCTACCTTCTCGTAACCTTCCGACTCCGACAGACGGAGCAGTGTCTCGACAAGATCAATCGAGGTCCATACAGCATCAAAGATGCGACTTCCGTCACTGAGTTCAATAGCTTTGATCTTGTTCGGAGCAGCCTCCAGAACCTTGTGAATTTCCGGTCCACCGTTTATCAAGAATTTCAAAAGTTGAAATTGTGCATTCGAGTTTCGCCAAGGCTTCAACACGGTCTCGATGGGAAAGGTATCCTGAACAAAAGCAATCAACGATGGAACCTCAAAACATCAAACGCTTACCCTGCAAGCAACATCATGTAGCGTAAATATGAATTTCAGTCCATCATCATCTACTCCATTCAACAATGATGTATCGAGGCACTTGAAAACATCGTTCCATTTGATGCCAACGTTTGCTTGTCTCACCCCCTCCGTGAAGACTTCAATATTCCATGTTGAGGGATTTTCCTTTCCTTGCTCGGAGTCCGCACTAGCATCTGAGGCCATCTTGGCTGAAGTGACAGGCAGTGCAGAGTCTTGAAGACCGTTCAATGTTTTCGCCATCATGCAGATGGCATTTGCGACAGAGCCTTCGTTCACATTTGTACAATTTGAGATTATTTCTACAAGAGTTTCCACACTTGTACATGACGAATAGCCGACATCATTCATCACCTCAGCGAGCTGATAGCACGTCAGTCGGTTGATATGGCTTGATGAAATTACCTCGGTGTCAGATGTAGAAAGCATAGAATCAAGCATGGTTGAGTTCAGCTCTTCACTGTCTCGTTCGATACGATCAGATTCTTGATCTCCTTTCAAAATTGGAAGCAGCGAGGGATCAGTGTCCTTCTGAACACTCATAGACTTGATGGCACTCAAAACCTGATGAGCAACCAATTAAACTACAACATTGCACCTGCATAACTACCTCCTGAGTCTCTTTCGCTACGAAAGAGCTTTCAGTCTCGATCACTACCAGCAGAGTAGACAAGACAGCCGAATTCAAGAGTTTCAAATTTGTTAATGTGCACTCTGGTAGCTTCGACTGCACAATTCGAGTGCCTGCCAACCCAGTCAACAGCTATATTGAAAAAAAGAAAATGCAAAACCTTTTTGATGCACAGATTGATCTTGAGACTGACAAAGCGCAAGGCCAAACGTAAGGTGTTGGGCAAAAGTAAGCTTCAAAGTCTTCGCCAAATTGTTACAGAGCTCTTCAGTCAAATGAATTCCTTCAAATGCTTGACAAATTACACTTGCGAAATTCGGTTTCGTCATAACTGTCCCCAGCTCCTGTGCCAGGAGCTGGAGTTTCGTTTGATCTGTAATTGATTTCGCATTTTTAAGGTCAAGCTGATTGATCAATGAACGAAAGAGAAACACATGCACGTCGTGACCGTATACCTCCAACAACTGGCACGTTGAGTCAATTCAGATTTACGTGTTCGAGTCGACCACAGACCTGATTCAATTCCCCACTGGTTGCTTTGAAATTCTTCTTGTTCAAATTAGACACTAGTTGTCGCACTTGCGCAAACACTACATGCCCAAAATTAACCACCATATACTATTGAATCCCTCCAAGATTTCTCCCTGCCCGATCGTTCCTGAATGCAGGATCGGGCAGTAAAGTTTCAGCAACACCTACGCCAACTTATACCTCCACTCCATCCATCTCCGACCAGCCCAAGGCCAGGTCAGGTGAAGCTGAAAAGCAAAAAAAATCAGAGAGGTAGCACAAGGGATGTATCATATAATGTCTGAAAAATAATCAATCATTTGCACTATTCCAAGCCACAATACAACACTTCACACTGAAACAAATGAGTCTTGATAGAGAATCAATCAAGATAGGTCATCCGCAAATCAAAATGGATATGAAACGGAAGCCACGATATAAGAATGGCGAGCGATGGGAAAGCGATTACTGCTTTCGTCAGCATTAAGAAACAGGCGAGCATGCAGCCTGAGGGGCACGAAATGCTGAGGGGCATGGACGCAGAAACGAAGTCCAATGAAGAGAAGAAGCGATGCAAGAGAAATCGAGAAGGAAAGGAGAAGACAGAGCACGAATGACAGCAGCTCCAGAAGCTGCATTGAAGGCAGAGTGCCCCTAATCCACAGCCGCCATTGCGGACGGGAAGGACAAAGCGCTCGCGCCGCGGCGGGGTCTAGGGGTGGGGCAGATGGAGAAATTTAGGGGGTAGGGTAGTAAAAGGGTGGGTATCAAGGTAGAAAGAGGTAGGGGTACTCAGTTGGATTTCATTGGGGTAGTTCATGAAAGAGAAGTACAGCCGGTGGGGGTGACCACCCACTCGCTCAAAGGAATAGCAGAAAGATGGGGGAAAAGGGGGTGGATTACCTGTGACTTCGGTAGATGTGGGTAGGGTAGTAGGAACTGGACAGGTGTCATTGAAAGTCGACCTTGGGGGTTGTTATGAAGTGGGGTAGGGGTAGTTTGAAATTGCAGGGGTACCTGCAAGGGGTAATTGGTAATAGAACAAGTAGGGGTAGAATGATAGTGTCGAAGACAAGGGGTACTGGAGTTGCTGTGAATTGAGAGGGTGGGGGTGTACAGACGAAACTACAAAAAAGGGTAGGGTGAATGTGGGAAAAGGGACGGAGACAGGTAGGGTAGTTTCGTCGATCGATAGTGGATGGATAAAGTACCCCCTTCTATCCACAAGGAAAAAGGGGTGATCTAAGCTTTGGACTACCATTTCCTATGTTGTGCTATGACCTTCTACAGTACCATTCAGACTACCCCTGCATTCAAAAGGAATTGAGGAGGGAAAGGAAGGTGGGGAGATTGATGTCTGAAAGTAGGAAAGGGTGGGTAGTTTCATCTGATAGATGGGGTAGGTGGGAACGAAAGGTATTACCCCTTGTTCACTGCCTCAAATAGTGGGTAGGGTAAAGAACTCATAAGAAATTCGAGCCCCCCTCAAGATATGAATATGGAATACATTGAGGACACTTCTTCTGCCTATATCGGTCCCAGAGACGTATCATAAAATATTTTTCAAAGATAGCTCATCACTTTCCTGGTACAAGCAGAAGTACTACTATTGTATCTGTTGAGGCGGAGATACGATGGTGCTAATCCTTTACAGAGGGGTACTTTCTCAGAGATTTGGGGGTGGGGGTAGTCCTATTAATTGTGTAGTAAACCCTTTTTTTTTTGACTTCCCCGAAGAGGACACCTTCCCGAAGGAGGGGTAGGGGTACATGAAACTCGATGAAGGCAGGGGTACCTCATAGATAACATCTGAGCCTTCTAGGGGGTAGGGTATGAAGAGGTCTCGTTTTTAACACCAAGAAGAGGAGCAAAGGGGGGTGGGGTCACGAAAGGATTTATCGCGACCATGCAGTGACTTTAGGGTAACCGAGAAGCGGCAGGACATGAAAGGAATGCAGGATGTACAGGAGAGGGGGATTTCAATAGGAGAAGCATAATCATAGATGGTATTTAGATGGAACGCTTCCAGTTGATCCAATGAGAGAGGTTGAAATCGAGACGATGAGCAGGATACCTTGAAAAAGCTCCAATTGATGAATCTAAGTTTTCAGTTTCCCGCAAGTGCGGACCGTGGAAATTTGTACAGGAAGGCAACAAGAGGCAAGTTTATAGAGCACCATTAAAGCTACTAGAATGCATCCGCAAGATTAGAAACGCAAGAAAATGAAATTGAGGAACATGTGAACTTGTTCCTAGTGTACCAGGTCTGAGTTGGGTGATCTCTGAAGCGATTCGCGTATAGTCGAATGATTAAGAATGGTTGAGGTTAACTTCTGGTTGTTGCAGATCTAGAAGTAATCTGATCGCTTGTGGGATTGTTGAGGAAAAAGAATCACGGTTTCATCATGTCTACTATAGACAAGCTTCGTGGGATGCTCTTGGTGCAGAGCGAGTACCTGAAGAAAATATCCTCCGCGCACGGAAAGGACCAAGACAGTGGAAAGAACCAAGACAGTGAGGCACAGAGAACATCTATGAAGAAGAGCAAATCATGTGACAGCAAGCTCAAGAAGTCGGTCTCGTTCAAGGTGTCTCCATCGGCGGGACTGAAGCTGCACCGGACGAGGAGGACCAACAATGTGCTTAGCATTATGTTGCAAAGGTTCAATGGAATTGCCTACCCGAAGGCAAAGATTGATGAGATCTTCTCCGAGTGTGAGAGGAGGAGGTCGAGATACTTCGAGAAGGGGCAGGCGGCAGACGTCTTGAAGGAGTTGGGGTTCCATTTCAGCGTTGAGGAGAGCCAGGAGATTTTCCGCATCATGGACTTTCAGAATGTGGGGGAGCTTGATCTACAGGATTTGAAGCAGAAGCTGCTGCGGCACAGGTGCAAGGAGTGCTTGAAGGGCTGGTTCACAGACCTTGACGTCTACGACATCATCGCAGAGAAGCTGCTCGAAGACGGCAGGATGCTGCAAGACAACCCCCTCAAGGCCCTTGCCGCACACCCGGACGACCTCTCCTATCACCTTCAGGACCTGCATCATGATGTATTGACGGCGATGCAAAGTGGACTGGAGGACATGAAGGACTTGAGCTCGCGGTCACAGGAGGGACCGTCCTCCTCCAAGTTCACCAGCGAGCTGCCCTGCACCTTTTCGATCAAGAAGATCGAGTTCAGCAAGGGGTTGAGCGCGGAGGAGAAGGGAAACGAGGAGGAGGAGGAGGAGCAGATCGATATGATGCGGAAAGAGCATGATGCTTTGGAGGCGATCACCAGTGGATGCCTGGATGCCCCGACCAACGCACGTATGGAGTGGGAGTTTGTGACGGGACCCAAGGAAGGCGTGAGGTATCCGGGAGAGGAGCAGGAGGAGGAGCACGTGGGGAGGGTCAGGAGGTCGCTGGAAGAGCTCATGCAACAGGAGGTGTTTTCGCGGTCTCGGCTGACCAAGGGTGAGTTGATTGGGCTAAGGTTGTACACGGGGCCCATGCACGTCAAGTACAACGAGAGCATCAGGTGAAGACCGAGGCGCTTGCTTGCTTGCTTGTGATGGCGCTGGTGCTAATGGTGGTGGTGGTGGTGATGATGATAGAGATAGTGCTGCTGCTACTGATTATGATGGGGATGACGATGATATCGTTGTCACTGCTGTCGTTGACGATGACGACCGATATGAAAACTTCTCATCATGACCGCAGGCAATATTTCAACTCCATCGGTGACAACGATCGCACCAGTTACAGCGGTGACTTCCCGACTACCATCCAGCTCATCTCCTCAGGCATCCTCAAGCTCGCCAGTTCCAATAGCATCCCCTCCAACAAGAAGCTCTACCGATGCCTCAAGCCCAACGCCAACGACAGCAGCTTGCAACAGCGCATCCTGGAGGGGAGCTTGCTCAACATGGAGCCAAACTTCATCTCTGCCTCCAGCGAGTGGAAGAACATCTCGGGTAAGGCCGGAGAGGAGGGGGAGGATGGAAGCTCGCACCTTCCCATCATCCTCGAGATCTGCTCCTACGACAGGACCATCGGAGCAGAGGTATGATGGAGGACGAGGAGAGGACGAGGACAAGGACGAGGGGCACAAGGAAGGAAGGACGGAGGGGGATGCAGAGGAGGAGGAGATCTGGATGTTGCCCTGCTCTTGCCCCTGCAACAGCTCTTGCCTGTGCCTCTCTTCATGCTCCCGCTCATCTCTCATCTCCTCACCGATGGTGGCTTCTGACTCTCCTGTCTCAGTTGCAGTGGCTCTCGCAGTATCCGCACGAGGACGAGATCGTCTTTCCTCCCTTCGCCTGCCTCAACATCTCTCGACCCATCAGCTTCAACGCGCACGAGGGAAAGGAGGTTGTCCTGCTGTCCGCGCAGATTCAAGTGAGCGGGGAGCAGAAGGAGAAAACTATCGAATGAGAGGAAAGGGGGTGCAGGAGGTGTAGGAGGTGCAAGAGAGGATGGGGGAAGGGATGGTGAAGTGGTGGTGGTGGTGGTGGTGGTGGTGATGGAGGAGGAGGAGGAGGAGGTGGTGGTGGTGGTGGTGTTGGAGGAGGAGGAGGAGAAGGTGGTGGCGGCGGTGGTGGCTGGATTTTCTCATGTTTCTGTAGAATGGCGTGACTTGATGTTTGTCTAAACTCTTGGTGTGTTAAATTTCTGTGATGGTGAAATGTATCAATAAAGTTTCAAATTTGCCATGAAGACGAAATGATGGTCATAAAGTTTACACTGGCATGGCGTCATGTCCCGACACGTCTACACCGCCTGAGATTCTTGATCGTCTTCTTGATATGTTGTGCTCATCACTGATCATCTTGTTCACAACATGCGATCGGTCCTGGTTCCTGTTCTGCCTCCTCCTCCCCGTCAAATCTTTTTAATTTGACTTCATTACTGTTCAAACAAACGTTCGTTATGCGTTCTTATCGTATCTCTTCTGTTAATGTACATCGTCGGCAGCACGGGAAAGAATAAGAGGAGGTCACGAGAGATCGCAGGTGACTGGCCGGGCGGCCGGATAAAAGTCACTCTTGCTCTGCGAGAAACGGGATGAGAAGGGACGAAGCAAGGGGGAAGAGAGGAGAGAGGTAGCGGAAAGAAGTGGGGGAAGGAGGGGGAAGAAGGGTGGAAGGGGCAGGTGAATGCGCAGAAGGGAAGTACGAGGACGGAGGAGGAGAAGCAGAATTAGGACAAGCAGGAAGATAGGAAGGAAGCAGGAAGAGAATGGGTTGGGGATCGGGGGGGGGCAGTAGGAGATGATGGAGGAGGAGGAGATGATGGTAGAGTAGGAGTAGGAGTAGGAGCAAGGAGGAGGAGGAGCAAGGAGGAGGAGGAGCAAGGAGGAGGGAGGAACGGAATGGACCTCGTCAATGTCCTCCGGGCTTCTTGCAACATCAGGAACGACGTTCACTTCGATCATCTCATGCTCGACCTGGAAGCGAAGGAGTAAGATTAGAGGGAAGAGGAGGAAGGGGAAGCGGGGAGAGGGAATAACAGGGGAGGAAAGGAGAGAAAGCAAAGACATGCAGTCTACCGAGCTCGAAGGTATCTGAGAGTAGGAGAAGCTTGGCTCCCCGGGCGATTCAACCCTTCCCTCGAACATCCCCGCAAGAAACTGGAAGCAAGGATCACCGCGAGCTGCTCCTGCTCCTGCTCCTGCTCCTGCTCCTGCTCCTGCTCCTGCTCCTGCTCCCAACACCCTTCCCCTTCCTTCCCTCCCTCTTCCTCCCCACCACCCGACCCCTTATCCTCCCCTCTCCTTCCCTTCTCCCTCCCCCTCCCTCTTCCTCTCCTCACCCGAGGCAGCGGGTGGTCCAGGCTCTGCAAGCAGATCTTGATCACTGCAGTGATGGGGACCGAGAGGATCATTCCGACCACCCCCCACAAGGACCCCCACAGCATCAGCGAGAGCAGCACCACGACCGGGTGGAGGTCCATCGCGCCCCCGAGCACGCGCGGCTCGATAATGTTGCCGGTGACGGCATGCACGAAGCTGGGGATGGCGAAGGCAAGGAAGATGTCGAGCCAGGTCTTGGAGGGGTCGAAGATCACCACAGGCATCGGGAGGAGGGTCGAGATCACGCCTCCCACGTTGGGGATGAAGTTGAGGAGCCCGGCCAGGAGGCCGAACACCAGTGCCAGGTCGACTTTGAGGATCAGCAAGGAAATTCCGATGACGATGCCGGTGGTGGTCGACAGGAGAACCTTGAACCCGATGTAGCGCTTCACCTGCATGTCGATCTCTGCCCTCACTCCACTCACCCTCTTCTCATCCGGGGGGCTCGACGCGTACCCGAGGAGCAGGTACACGGTGAACAGCAGCATCAAGAAGCCATTCGTCATCTCCTCTACTGCCAGGCTCACGCTCTTCACGACCATCTCGCTCAGGAACGCCGAGTGGTGCAGAAGCTTCTCTGCTATCCCCTGGTTGCTGATGTCCATACCCATCAGTTTCCCCCACCTGATCACCCAGTCCGCCATCGATCGCACCCGCGCCGAGTATCGCTCCGCATGCGCCGCTAGCTCATTCACCGACGAGAAGATTACGACTAGTATCATAGCGATCAGCACACATGCGAACATCAGTGCTACCACCACCGCCATGGGCCTGGGCAGCCGACACTGCAGGAGAGAGGAGATCGACTCCGAGACCACAACGATAGGAGGGACTACACCTACTGCTCCTGCTCCTGCTCCTCCTGCTCCTTCGTTACCGTACTTGTAGTCATCCGAATCGTAGCCGGATAGTCCCTCCTTCTTCTTCGAGAAAGCCTTCCCTCCCTGCGCGCGCGGACTCCGCGCCCTGGGGGTCCTCTGCCAAGTCTGGTCGGAGAGCATGTCGACGATCGGGACCAGGGAGTAGAAAAGGCCCATGGCGAGCACGAACGGTATCAGCACGCTGCGCAGGTGTACAAGGATGGTTCCTGCCGCCACGAGAGCGAGGAGGAACAGGCATGCCGTGTGGATGTGCTTCCTCACAACCACCTCCTCTAGCCTCAGCTCTCGGAAGGAGATCGGACTTGGTCGCATCCTTCTACACACCAACACAGGACTTGTGTACACTCCCGTCTTCGTTCAACTCTTGCCTTCTCCTCTACTTCTATGCAAATCTCCACGCCCCTGCGACCTCTCCTGCTGCTTGCTTGTCTTCCTATGTCTTCTCGTCTCGTCTTTTCCGTTCAGCTCAGGCTCCCTTCCACCCGTGAGATGGTACCATATCCATATTTCCTTCCTTCAAATCCTAGATTCCGTGTTCCTTAGCCCAGTCTTGTGAGCGGCTTGTTAGGTGTCCTCGTCCTCAGTGTTACGATGCTTCTGAATCAACTGAAGCAACCCTGGTATTCCACGCCTCTGCCTTGCGACAAGAAAGTTCCTTGTCCCTCCGATCACTGTGAAACAAGCTCTCGTCGAGCAACGACGGCAGATGCTTCATCCAGCTCCAAGACCATGCCTTCGGTACAACCTCTCTGATATCTCTCTCCTGCCTCTCGTCGTCTCCGTCCTCCTCGTCCTCCTCGTTCTCCTCCCCCTGTCGCCACCATGCATTGCGCATGCATGACGCAACGATGAAATCGACTGTTTTCCAATGGTGGTGGGGTAGAGTACCCCACCCTCAATTTTCCTTCAGCTGTGAGGAAACAAATGGGTAGTGAACGGTCATGGGGAGTACATCTACCCAAGGGGTGGTCTATTTGTGTCTGGTAAATGATGGGGGTGGTCACTCTTTTTAGAACCCTTGGGGGGTAGTATTAACGCACTACCGCAGATATTGAAGTTAGACGGACGGGTACTTTTCAGGTCTCAAGGGGTGGTTGTTTTTTTAGGGGTGGTCATTTTCGTTAGATGAATTTGAAGACCGGTACATAAAATACCCTACCCCCTGAATCCCAGACTCTCTCCAATGAAAAATTGTACAATTAGGGGGTGGGGTACTGATATTCGGAAATGGGGGTGGGTATGTCTTCACCGTCATTTTTTCATAGTTTTGAAAGTCAACCACCCCCACCCGTTTTGGAAACACCCCTCGATACTCTCACACCCGTCCTTTTTACCAAGATATACCCACCCTGTACTAAGGTACCCCTTTATATGAGGGAAGCTCTAGATTTCCAAACCACATCTCCTCTCAGACCCATGCAAACTCATCCCCCTCTTTCGTCAATGAAACCCACATCCCCGCTCAGTACCATCAGTTTGACGGAGATCAGTTGAGGACCTGAGTGCGGCCAAAAAACCATGGCGAACATGAGGAAGAGGAGGACAGGAGAGGAGGACAGGAGGACAGGAGGACAGGAGGACGACTCGAGGACAAGAGGAGGAGAGAAGGAGAGGAGGACAGGAGGACAGGAGGAGAGGAGGACAGGACAGGAGGACAGGAGGACAGGAGGACAGGAGGACAGGAGGACAGGAGGACAGGAGGACAGGAGGACAGGAGGGCTGAGGACAGGAGGACAGGAGGACAGGAGGAGAGGAGGAGAGGAGAGGAGGAGAGGAGGAGAGGAGGAGAGGAGGAAGCTGCTGAGTTGAAAAGGGGAGGCTGAAGAGGAGTGCCGGGTGGAACGGACTGGTCAGCAAAGACTGGGCTGGTCCGGACAAGAGGAAAATGGGAGGCTAGAAGAGAATTAGCAGAGACAGGTTCACTCTGTCGGTAGAAACAAGTGTGTATGTTGGTGAATCCTGAAGGGATGCCAGTGCTGGACAGTAGCCATAGGCTCTCATGCTGTTGTGTTATCAGGATTGACTCGCTGGCACAACCGAGGGACCGGAGGGCTCTGCACCCATGGAACAGCCTTGAAGGCTTCTGCGATCAGCACGAGAGATCAGCATGTCTGACGACGAGAACGAGGGACAGATCATCAGGGATTTCCCATGGATCTTTGAGACGGTGAGGACGAGCTGCTGTCAAGGGTGAACAGCTGACTGGTTGCCTTGGGAAAGATTTGGGACCTGAACAAGAGGTATAGGAAGAAGAGGAAGGATCAGCAGGTAGAGAGATCCCATCTTCCTCTCCCTCATCCTGGTCCTCTTGTCTTTTCATCTCTCCTTTTCCCTGCCCATCTCCCTCTCCCTCTCCCTCTCCCTCTCCCTCTCCCTCTCCCTCTCCCTCTCCCTCTCCCTCTCCCTCTCCCTCTCCCTCTCCCTCTCCCTCTCCCTCTCTCCCTGCCCCAGCCCTCCTCCCCTTGGTCATGTTTGTGATGCAAGCCCACAGCTGGCAACCTTCTTCATCGGCAGGGGTGTGGACCGAGCGATCGACATGTTCCATCGCCTGGACAAGGACCGAGGAGGCTCGTTGACTCTGAAGGAGTTTGTGAGTTGACCAGCAGTCACCAGCACCTGTTCGCTCCTCTGGTGACTTCCTGCCTCCTTGCCAGGTGTTCGGTCTTTACGGCATGAACGGGATTCCCAAGGACATCACTTTGAACGACCTCTGGGCTTTCGTGTGAGTCAGCATGCTTGCGAGCGGATTTGATGGAGAAGGAGAAGAAGGAGCAGGAGCAGGAGCAGGAGCAGGAGCAGCAGGAGGCTACAACAATGATGTTTTTGTTACATTGGCAATCTGACAAGGCTTCGGGCAGGAAAGCTTTCGATAAGGACGGCAGTGGGACCATCGATTCCTCTGAGTGGACTCAGCTTGTCAAGGAGATGAAGATCCCACGGAGCAAGAAGCAAGGGCTCTTCCTCTGCCCGGTCCCCGAGACCATCCTCTTCAACGACGGTGCTCCTTCCCTCTGGTTCTTCTCGCGCCAGGAGGATGGACACCTTATGTCCCGCCAGCTGCCCGAGAAGGTGTGGGCGGCCATGGAGAGCTGCCTGCATGCCAGCTGGGAGAAGCTGCCGGAGAGCTTGAAGTTCGGGAAGAGGAGGGAGGTTGTGAACTTTGGGCTCCTGTGGATCAGGGAGGGGAGCGACGTTTCCTTCCTCCCGCTGTCGCATGCGGAGTTCACCGCGCTGGCTAAGGAGCAGCAGAGCGGGTTGAAGCACGTGGTGGCGGTGCAGGCGATCGCCTCGAGGATGGAGCCCGGTAGTGATGAACGAGGGAGGGAGAGGGGAGGTGGAGAGGAGAGGAAGGAGGTGGGAGGAGCACGACCACGATCACGAGCATGAAGTGTGTGGGCGGGGGAAGAGGGAAGAAGAAGGAAGAAGGGAGGAGAGAGGAGAGAGGAGATAGAAACTTGGAAGAAGAGTTCCTGACGTGTATCTGTGTATCTATTCACAGGAGTGGTGTACAAATGTGTCTTCTCTAGGGAGACAAAGTCTGGCAACTACTCGGCCGAAGTGACTCAGGAGTTTCACGTTCCTGCTTTTGACAAGCTCGCGAAGAAGGAGGAGGGGAAGGGAAGGTACAAGCTCAAGTCGGAGAGGTGAGAGTGGAGAGGAGGAGGAGGAGGAGGAGGATTTGTGGAGGGGGAGGAGGAGGGGGAGGAGGTGAAGGAGGAGGGGGAGAAGGGGGTGAAGGGGGTGAAGGATGAGAAGGAAAAGAGAGGAGGAGGGTGGAGTTGGTCGATAGTGCAGTTACTAGAAGGATGAAAGGAGGCGGAGATGGCGAGT